AATTAAATCAATCACTTGTTTCCTCTCAGTATAATCAGTTTTCTGAAATCTGTGGTGATATATTTCGAGAATAATTACTAGGAAAATATTCTTTGCCGAAGACAATTATTACTTGAGAGAAGAAAAGTGAACAGAGTAATCGCTCGTCTCGGCAGTGGAATGATGCTTTTCTGTGCGCGCGCAATAGACGCACAACCGCACGAAATGACGACGTCGTTACCGGAAATGAGTAAAAAGAGTGCTCTCCCGCGATGACTTCGAGCCCGTTTCGATCGGCTTCTCTCCGGACGGGCGTAAAGTTACACCGTGCGCGCAAGAGATCAGCCGTCGTGAACGAACGGACGTGAAACAGAGCGAGCCAGCCGTACATCCGAAACGACTCTTACCGCGCTAGAAACTCTACCTACTTCGCGTCGCACAAAGAGATATACGCGATGCACGACGGACGCGCACGTAGTAACGCGTGCGATCGATAAACGCGAGGCACCGAGCGTGTTTTTTGAGAAGTGCAGAGGAAAAAAATGCGAAGAAATGCAAAGTGAAAGCAAATATACCGTGTAAAGTGACGCGATTAAAAGGAAATCACGTTTCGCGGATTACGCGTTGAAATTACGCAGCGTTCAGTTTTACGGAGCGCGTTGCATGATAAAGGGCCGGGAATGAACTCGCGTCATCAGGCCGGGGGAAAATCGTTGGCGGTGTTGTTGTTGTTGATCGCGACTCGCGCTCTTCGACAAATGGAACTTCCGTCCAAACATTTCTGCCCGCTCGATTTCGCTGGAGCTTTATTCGCGATACTGCGAATGTTGGTCTCGTTTGACGTAACTTCAACGTTTCCTCTCTTCTTTTTCCGCCTGTGCGCGAGACATCACCGCTTTAACAAAATGCGAAAGATTTCTCTCTCTATCTCTCTCTTTCTTTCTCTCGCGCGAGTTCTGCCGTCGGTGAAGCCTGGAATCTTGAGCGTATTCCGCTCCTACCTCGCTCTAACGCGATTTACACCTTCATCACCCGCCCGGATACCCTATCGAAACAAATACGTCGAAAACAAGCCGCTTGACGATTCTCACGTCTCCCGTCTAACAATTTTCACGCCTCCGTGCTGGCCTTGTAACTTCACGATATGCGCCCGCTCGCTCACTCGTCCGTCTTCTCTCTCCCTCTCCCTCCCTTCCTTTCCCCCCCTCCCCCCTCTCTCTCTCTCTCTCTCTCTCTCTCTCTCTTCCTCCCTTTCAGAGGTCCGTCGATCGAAATCGGCATTCGGCCGACCGATGGCTCTTCCACGACTATGGGCTCACGATGACGTAACGGTCACTGACCCCCTCCCACCTCTGGCGAGCCTTCTTCTTCCCCACCCGCACCTCTCGCACCGTTTCTCCTCCTCCCCCACTATGCGTCATCTATTCTTTCTGCCTACGACGAGCGATGCGCGCGCGATAGCACTCGTCGTGCACGTGTGTGTGTGTGCACAGGTCAGCAGAGCGAAGAGAGCGACAGTGTGTTGCGTGCCTGTGTAAGTGTGTAGGTATGCAATACGTACCGTGTATGTGTGTGCGTGAGCACGCATGCACGCACGCACGCACGCACATACACGCGTACACGGATACGCTCGCGCGCGCGACATGTACGGCGCGCGTTTCTTTATCTCTTTCTCGACTTCTTTTTTCCTCGTATCATAATTCGAACAACATTTCGCGACTAATTGCAGCGCGGATGAAAGTAAACGCGCGGGAGTCTCTCGAGGAACGACGTCGCGAAGAGCCGGCAGGGCAGCGCGAATTCGTGTGGATCTTGATAACGCCGGGCGAGAATAGCGCGGACATTAGTATCGGAAAAAGAGAGAAAACGGCTCGTCGACGTATATATCGCAATGTGTGCGCGACTTGCTCCGCTCTTGCTAGAGCAAGAGAGAGCGACTGAGGGAGGGTGAAAAGGGGGAAGCCGAGGGAGCGAGCAAGCGAGTAGGTGAGCGAAAGAGAGAGAGAGAGAGAGAGAGAGAGAGAGAGAGAGAGCAGAAGTAGAGGGAGAAACGTTGGGATCGATAGCCCATGTACACGCTACATAGTACATAACTCATATGAAACGAGAGAGAGAGAAGGAAGAGACTAGAAGGGAGAGGAGGCGAGGGAAAGAGAGAGAGAGAGAGCCAACCGATGGAAGATCGCGCGTAAATGAAAGTGCGGGTTATCAATGAAACGCTAAATCCTCACGCAGCTTATAGTACTGCGATGCATTATACCTTCCATGAATACAGTCGTCGTATTCAAATTCCCTACCAGCAACTCTTCTTTCCTTCTCAGTCTTCCTCTCTCGTTCCCTCTGCCCATAACGAACATTAACGGCACTGTCTGCTTGGAACACGCGACCGATCGATTTTCGCGTCGATGCTTCCTTCGTTCCTTAATAGCGCAGCTCGTCGGCTCCGTCTAAAAGTTGGATGCACGCGCGCGATAACACGCGGTCGGTCGTCGCAGAACGCGGGAGTAAACGCCACGACGACGATGCGACCCATTTTTCGCGGCCTCCTTTATCGCGCGGACGAATTAACGCCGGGCAGAAAAAGAATCGGCCGCGAGATCTCGTCCTGGTAACTGCCAGATATTCCCAGCCTTCTGCGTCCCGCAGCGAATATGTGTACACACACATACACATACACCATACGTACGCGAGAGAACATCGGCAAATCATATTAAAAATCTCACTGACGAACCCGTATTAGCTTTATTCGTGCGCAGAAATAATAAGTGTCGAAGTGCATGCTCGTCCATGCGCTAAATGTTTTTTTTCTCCCGTTTTTGACGGACGAAAAGTAGAACTGACATGCTGAAAATAGATTCTGTCCTCCCCATCCATTGCGCCTGCATCAATTCGGTCCATCGTCATTTACCGTCATTCTACACAGCTAACACCACGAGACAGTTAGCACAAAAGCTTCGTAAACACAGCGTTTCCAGGAAGGGCCACACAGAAATTCCCTTCCCTAACCTTTCTACTTTTCGTATCCGAGCCTGTTTCGAGAATAAAGAGAAATGAGAGAAAACAGGAGAGGAGAAGAAAGGAGACGAAAGAGGAGGAAGAGGGGAATCGTCGCGGCCTTGGGCCCCTTCCATCGATCCTGGCTTCTTTTCTCGCCTTCGCCGATGTCTCCTGCGTCTCTCGTCACCTCACCTTTCTCACCAGCCGGTACATAAATATTTATCACCCGCGGTCGTAATCGACAATGACAATAAACACTTCTTCGCGACGTTCCGCGATTGCCTCGAGATTTTCGACCCTCGTTCGAGAAACGTAAACAAAACGATTAAGCAATTAGCGAGTCTCGTTGCGAATAAGCACCTGCTTCGGGGCGTGAGACCCACATTTAAGTCGCGTACAACTACTTTTCAGAGTGAAAAAAGCCTCGATGTCTCGAGCGTAGTGTATCATAAAGCGAGATCGACGCCAGCTGTTACACGCCATATTCGCAATCAAGATCGGCGGCGCTTCGATAAGGATTCGCGCGCGTTACGCGCCGCAAACTTTAGTAGCAAGAGAAAAAGAAAAAAAAGAAAAAGAGAGAGTTCCACATGAAATATCTTGATATAAATAAGTCCTGAATTAATTCGACGTCCTCCATTGTGCGAAAATAACGCGAAATCTGAAGCGAAGCCGGTGGAAGGCTCCTTTCGGACGTCTCTCCTTTAAAACATGCACGCCAGCGTTCACGTGTCACCTATACGTCTTTTGATATTTGGGAAAGTTACTTTTAGTATCTTAAAATCAATACAGAATCCGCGCGAAATAACGAGAGCCTTTTACCGTATCGAGCGCTTAAATATTTTCACGGTCGTATCGTTCCATTTTCTCTTGTCGCTAAAATGAGAAGGGAGGAAGGGCAGGGAACATTGGACTTCAACTTGTGCGCGCGCGCCTGTGTTCCGCCTAAACATATTTCGCACATGCATATTTCACGATACCGTTTCTCCTTTTTCTCGGAGCGCCGTTCTCGATTTATTTACGAGACATCGAGTCGCGCGCATATACCTGCTGTTGCCGCTGCGGGTACGTCACAAATGTACGCTGCGTAATTTAAGGGCAAACTATTCGCAAGAGAGATCGGTCGGGTTTTCAGCCTCAACGTTATCCCGTGACCGCGATATATCGCATTCACCACGGGAAAATGCACGCAGCATGCCCTTATCGACGCGTAATTTCACGTCATTGGGCCTTTTCTCTCTTCACACACGCTCTCTCCTCCCCTTCTCTCGCCTGACCCTCTCTTTCTCTCTCGATTTTCCCTTGTGATCAAAAAACGCGCATTTTCGTTATCGATCCGCCGTTCCCACTTCCAATCACACACCCACCTCGATATATCACCTTTCTCCCACTTCTACACTCTTTCTCTTTCTCTCTCTCTTTCTCTGGCTTTGCCCGTTCAACAAGTTTTCACATCGATTCTCGTTTTTCGCGAATTCCATAACGGTGACGCATGATCCAATAATGTCCAATGTAAAACAGCAACATTTCCCCGCGGCAAACGAATTTTCAGGAAATTTTTCCAAATTACGTCGCAGTCACGAGTACATTTCCTCATGTCAAAATACAAGTGAATCTGTTTCCATACCTCGTATATCGAAAGTAAATGGATAAATCGAAAATATTGTGTTTCTCGATTTCACGGTCAATACAAGTTCGATAGGCATTGCCGTTAAATTTTGTCTGCTTCAATTTCGATTTGAAGTCAATTAAGAATATGTCCAGATCAGGAGTTCTCAGTCGGTAAAAAAACTCGTCGAATGCGAAAGAAAGTAAGTTTTCGTTTTCACTAATCTCGTATTGAAGTTCAACTGGAAGAAAAACAGTTCCGAGTAAAAGCCCCCGGGGACTTGCTTGGCCGGATTGGCCGAAGGGCAGTACACAGCATGAAATAATGAAGAACCCCTGTTCTGGACATCACTTACTGTCACGAAGTTTGCGCGCGCGCACGAATTCACTGATAGAAGTAAAAATACGTGTCGTACCTTGTATAAATAGGTGCATAACTTGTCGCGGTAAACCTGTGATCCGGGTAGTATGAATATGTCGGGATATGCGGTGCACAGAACATTGAGCTGCTCCACGCGTAACGCGGATGTAACCTCGGTTGCGAAAATGGCATCATGTTATAATCATAGATCCACTCGTTCGTGCTCCTCATCCTCGAACTTCTCAACGCTTCTTCATAGTAAGCGCACGGTAAGTTTCTCTGTGCCGAATCTGATTCATCATTTCTTCTATGCAACTTCTGAAAGCATCCCTGCCATCTCTACCTCTCCACTAGTGGATCGAAGCTAAGTACATATTCGAGCGACTTAAACCCTTTCTCTCGACGCATTTTGAAGCGCATCCGACCTCCAATGAGGTCCCTTTTAATAGTTGATTGAAACTTGTCTCATGCAAGATAATTTGATTTCAATTTGTACTTCAATTTCAATTCAGAGTTAAATCAGAGTTTCTCAGCTGAATTGTGCATTAAGAGAAAAAATATCTAAAAAATATTAATTCGATGGTATAGTACTCTAATGATGTATTTACTTAAATCTAAATTCTTTTATTTAAACAGAATAAACAATTGCTTTCGTAAAAAGATAAGGTTTTAAAAAAATATGTTTCCTTATTTAAAAAATATTTTACATTAATACAAGTAAATATATACGTTATTAGTATCCATCAAATAAATATTTTTTATTTCTTAGATATTTTCTTCTCTCATAATGTATCTCTGACATTATGGAGTATATTAATAGTAGTTAATATAGAGTAGTCTGCAATTAATCTGATGTGAGATATTCAGATCAGAATTTAGAGTTAGATTTTCAACACTGAAAAACTCTATCTAACCCTGAATTTAAATTGTAATATTTCATCTGAGACGAGTTTCAAATAATCATTATTAATACGGGCCTGACTGCTTCGCTTGAGACAAGTTTTATGTGCGAGAATTATTACAACACGTAATAATTCTCGCACCGGTAACAGACCGGTCACGAGACTTCTCGTTTTTCAAAGCTCAGGGAAAGACCGGTCACAATTTTCCTCGTGTGATCTGTAACAACTATCGTTGGAGCACACAGTTCATTTCACACAGTGAGAAACACAAGCGAGAAAATCTCTTGCGTTTGAGCTTTAAGAAAAAGGGAAATCTCGTGGCAGACTTTTTTGTATGTTAATATGGGCCTGAGAGAACCCATCTTTATGAGAACGACATGAGAACCAATATTCATCTCCCATTGGACGTCGGCTCTGCGTGGCGAGGTACGTCGGAGAAAACGTTCCGCGATGCGAGTGTATACACACTTGGCGAACCTAACCTCGCCATCTTTCCGCACTCGCGTCGTGATGTTCTCGCCTATGCTCAGCGGGGGCTCATCGCTCCCAAACTTGACCATTCAACGCTCGATTTAAACGAAGAAAGCCACAGTCAACCGAGAACAGCCGACGGCGATGGCGATCGTCACACTGTAGCTGGCACAATGTGACGTGACGCGTTGTTTCTACTCGTCTATAGAGCGGTCCGAACGCGTTTTCCTCAACGCACGTCGGAGCCGACGTCCCAATCTGTTTCCGAGCGATTCTCACGAAATAGGAACGTCCTCTCGTCGGACGCGTTGAACGAAATGTGTTACTGAGCATTATAGAAGGAGGAATTACTAAGTGGTGGCGGGACGCCGTGCGTTCGAGATCTGCATATCTTTTTCGTTCCAGAGAGAAAAATATCGAGAGCGCGGTTTTGCTATAGGCCGGGACTCGAACCCGAGTCTTTCGCTTGCCAGACGACTGCTCTAAACCACTGAGACTAGCTACCTGACCGTTCCACGCTCACGACACTCTTCTCCTTTCCCTAGATAACGCTCAGAGACACGACTGAACGCCGTGCGTTCGAGATCTACGTAAAACTTTTTCGTTCCAGAGAGAAAAATATCGAGAGCGCGCGGTTTTGCTATATAGGCCGGGGACTCGAACCCGGGTCTTTCGCTTGCCGGGCAACTGCTCTAAACCACCGAGCTACCTGACGCTCCACGCTCACGACACTCTCCTCTCCCTAGATAAACGCTCAGAGACACGACTGAACGCCGTGCGTTCGAGATTTGCGTATCTTTTTCGTTCCAGAGAGAAAAATATCGAGAGCGCGGTTTTGCTAGTGAACTCGAACCCGGGTCTTTCGCTTGCCGAGCGACTGTTCTAAACCACTGAGCTACCTGACGCTCCACGCTTACGACACTCTCCTATCCCTAGATAATGCTCCAAACCGTTCCACAAGCAAGCATGCATGTTCACTCGTGGTAAATTTCCGTCCCAAAAAAAATGCGTGTCTAACCATGTGTCATCTGTTTAGTTCAACCGCACGATGAGCCTCGTGCACTCGAGAAAATTCGATGTGTCAGAACTATGATCGAAAGAGAATCGGGAAGAACGATAATACAGAAAACACCAAGTATAACAGTAAGATTACATCAATATCATAATTTTCCAGTCAACGATGTTAGTAGATATGAAGTGCAACACATTACGTTAACATGACGTAACATAACATACGTTATCGAGGGAAATTGTGGTCATTGCAATGTTATTATTATTTGGTGTTTACCGGTTAGGGGACGTAGGAAGTACAAATAAAGAAAGCAGACCTTTCGTGTTTGTACACGGTGTACAGCACGAATTCTGCGAGCAGTCCAACTAAGGCGGTAAGATTGGCAGAGACTTTTCAGAAACACAACGTGGCCACTTAACACACAGCACAGTTTCAGGGGAACTCACGAGGGACTGTCCGAGGCGAGGAACTTGATAGCGAGCTTACTTGGCTTTTATGGGTTGGATATTCTTGTTTCTTGTAAGGTTGCATCGTACTTCCACCGTGCGCATTCTCTCTCAGCACTTTAAGAGACAAAAGCTATAGATTTCTACTATTCTCACTGTTACGCACGCACGCACGTACACACGCCCGTACAGCCGCACGCTCCAGCTTCTCAGCGCGACCACTCGACTCTACAGCGTTCGTTTCGCAAGCTCACTGGAAAATCGCAGCCCGGTCGCGAGATTCGAGAGGTTAAGAATCTCACACACGTGACGTTTGAGGTTAAGATCGCACAGGTAGCAGAAATGGTGATTCGCGCATGCGCGTTACGATGCTTGCTTCGCCCGCCGGTACGTTATGTTAGGTTAGGTTTCAGCGCACAGTGCTGAATTATTCGTCGACTGCGCCACTCGCGCGATCGACACCATGTATTCAAAAGGGCGAAGAGCACGATACGAACGAGATGTATAATCTTCTTCTTCTTCTTCTTCTTACTATTTTACTTGGACTTATTTCTGTTGTCCTTTCATCCAAGGTACCGAGGTACGAATTTCAAAAAAATCAGGTCCAAACGTATTCAAACGTCTTAACGTAACGGCGGTTAGGCCGAAACTGAGATGCACAACAACAAAATATCTTTATAAAATCGTAACTTCGTACTTTTAACCCAGTTTTAATACAGTCTTTGGAAAGCCACTATAGTAGCTGCGACGAGAATGTCATGTTTTTTACTATTCTACTTTTTGACGTACATGAAAAAGTTCTAGTTCAAGAACTATAAAAATCATCGTCCAAAAAAACTGTTCGGACTGTCGTAAAAGTTAATCCTCTGTGCACAGTCAGACTTTTTGCAATACAACTCTGGATCACTCTGGATCTGTCGGAGCTTTGAATTACCATAATTTTGTTGAGAATCAATATTTTTTAACAAATCCTTTCCAGAGGTATAGAAAATTATTCAGCTAGAAGATAATAGCACAATAAAATCAAGATTTGCAAACAGATTTGCGTTATTTTGAAACTTCCTCGGTTCCTTTACGGAAGTTGATAAGCCATAAAATATTTTGTCCAAATGTTCAAGTCTCACAAAAGCCAACATTGTAAGCTGAGGACTCAGCATCCTGCTACCTACTTTAAGGTCATGCCTCGAATATTCGTTTGTAGAACGGTTCGAACACGTTCTCTTCAACGCACTTCGGAATATAGTTGAAGATTAATGGAAGAATTTGTTTTTTTTCTGAAAATTCTTAAATGATAGATTTTCCTATTTATTGTCGATGTATTCCAAAAACGTATTACAAAAAAATGCGTCAATCTTTATGTCCATAACTCCCGTTGGTTATACAAAAATTTAACCGACGATTGAATTGTGATAGCTACGGTAAATAAATGTAATTCGAGACGCAAATGTATTTTATCCCTTTTCATTGGCTCTCTATTAGCAACGTACAACCAATTCTTCAAATGCAATTATGTGTATTTTATGCTCATGTGTATTTAACTCATTGAAATACAATAGTATCATGCCAGTTGCCGGTTACTGTCATATTTTGAACGCGTTAATATTTATTTCAAATAACATAGACTTGTACACTTGTGTTGTATTTCAAAGCATCCGTTTTGAGGAAAATTTTACTGAAAATCCATAGCATATGTAACGTGAACTATATATTTACAGTAAAATTTTCCTCGAAAAGGATATTTGAGAACGCAATCTCGAAAGCAGAAAAATTTCAATAATTTCTTCTGATGTGTTTCGAAACATACGATTTCTAATAACAAAATGGATCTTCTGACAATTATTGAAGACTAATCCGCCTGTTGTACATCGGCTCCAAAATGTTTCAAGAAAAAGGGCTCTATTCTGAATTTTCTTTTATCGACAAGAGTATCTCTAAATGTGCTCAAAAGCCAATCGAAAAGCTTGTAAGACACATTCAGCGAGGTACTTTTGCCGATAAAAGAGAGTTCAGAATAAGGATTAAAGTGTTCAAATCGAACCAAACGTACATATAGAGATAACGCCTCTCTTTTAAGAGTTTTGAAGATAACTACAGTCCTCTGCCACTGTTCGCGGGCGAACTATGTTCGTCGCACGGAAAGAAAAGTTTCCCACTTCCGTTGGATTTCACCAATAAGAGCCGAGCCAGACAAAGATAGATCGCCTTCGGCACTTTCTAATCAAGTCTTTACGGCCTCTTGTGGAAGCACTCAGTCTATTTGTTTAAGTCTATGTTGAAAAAGAATCGAGGGGGGAAGCGAGCAATGATCTTTCGGAACTATCGAGCTTTGTGCGGCAATTTTCTCAAAGCGAATGTTGCTTTAAGGAAAAAACCGAATCTCCGAGCTAATCGATAAATCATTAAACACATCCATACTAAGGTGGTGTTAGTCCAACATCCTGTCTACCGGGAAAGATGCGTCATGCCGCGTTAATTTTCTTCCGCGAACACTTCCTCAATAGATATTTCTTGGCGCGCGCACTCACGTCTTTTACATAGCAAATATTTCTGTTCCAAACACGCCGATTTCCGCATTAATTTTACAATTAGTTCCGCAGAAACTTTAATGACGATTGGATCAATATAGTAAATAAATGTAATTCAAGACGCATGCGTCTCTTAACTCGTTTCACTGATCGCTTCTATATTAATAACGTAAGATCTATTTCTCAAATGCAATTAATTGAAAATTACTTTTACAAGAATCTCTTACAAGGCTTTACATTCACTTTGGTGCTTATTGTAGCACAAATGGATCATGTTTGTACATATATGTGCTCTATTTTTTTTGCTGGAAAAAAGGTTCGAAATGTCTCAAGATTATTGGAAATGTTATTGTGTTTACATAACGCTTACTAGAAGATTCGTGTGAATAATATTACACACGAAAATCAACACTTCGCTCTTATTAGTCCTTTACGTTATATCATTTTTGCGATCTCAGACCTTTATATGTTTCTATTTTGCTATTAACTCTATAGTTGGAGAGTTGCCGGAATTGTGTCGGTTTCTTGAATCGTACGTCATCAAATACAATTGATTTTTTTAAATGTTTGTAGCACACATAAAATTACACTTAAAAATGATATTTACAACTATAATCACATAGAGAAATGATTACTATAAATTATTCTTAAAAAAAAACCATCTTATTAAATTCTACTATAATGTCAGTGATCATAATTTTTATGCGTGTTACTATTACTACTCTACTGCAAAAAATATGGTTGGGGTCAATAATAACTATAATTTTAGTTAGATCGACCAATTTTTCTCTCAGTGAAGATGCAATCTGAAATTTTTTTGTTTATATCTGTCATTGCTCAGTTGTTTCTTATTTTTACCGTCCTATTATATGTCCTATTCAACAATGATCAAGAAATCGATGAGATACGACTTCGGCAACTCTCCCTTAACTCCCCTCTCAAACTCATTAAAAAGCGGTAGTACTATAATGCCGGTCGCCATCGTCGCGATATTCAACGCGCTAAAATTGACAATAGCGCGCATCTCCGTACGTACATGAAGAAAAAAGATGAAGATCCCGTAATAGCAATAACGCGCGACTGTTCGATAAACAGCTCGTAATATCTAATTTTGTACCTCGCCCTTTCGAACTTTGACGATTTCGTATTGTGTATCCGCGAATTTCCTGGTCGTGCATTCTTCGCTATGTAATAGGCTTAAAATACGATGCAAATGGAGCCAAGAGGCTCGCACGGTTCCTACATAAAGTGTATTCTAAGCCGCGCGACACTTACATAACCTCCGACTAGAACTTCGCGCAGATTGCGTTCTCTCGGGCAAAAATATCTCACCTTTCCTAGTAGCCTCTCTCTCTTACTCTCTCTCTTGCTCTCTCTCTCTCTATCTCTCCCATTGTATACGATAAATACTTGCGACATAACGCGAAAGAGACATGTCGATAGTCGCGAGCACAACACGCTAATGAAATTTGTGTGATTCTATAGGCCGAGAATGGCCGGTCCAGATGTCTTAAAGGTCTATTTTAACCACGCAATCGCACAACTTGTTCAAACGCCACGTCAAACAGACTTATTCAATTGTTTGTTTGTCTTGTGAGAGCGTGGGAGCTTTTGTTCGCCATGCGAAGATCATGAACTCCTATAGGCATAATTAGAGTTTTCGCTTGAGCGACCAAACGAACGATGTCGATTTTTTAACACGTCGACGGGACGAGAGACCGATTATCTGGTCTCGTGAAAGACACACCGGCGCATCCGGAATCGCCGAAAATATCCCAACGTATTTGCAAAAAAATACGGGCGCGCCATTCGTCATCGCACGACTTGATGCATGCGTACGTCGTCTGTTGCTCCCAGTCGACGATATTTCTTCGAGACACGACCTAGCGTCATCGCGTCAACTGCAAACGCCAATATACACAGGCGACAGCGAGTGTCGCGCGGATATCGTCCCCTTTCTCCCCCCTCCCCTCATCTCCTTCTCCTTTTCTTCTTCTCCCCTTGTCCTTACGTACTCGGGGTGAAGGAAAAAACTGCAGTCGCGTCACGTCGCAACGTTCTCTTGTTCTCAAAGCGTCCGTTCGCGTATACATCGTGCACCTTTGTACAATGTAAGACACCGTATAGAGAGGTCATAATGATCTCATATCTTTATTCATAAAGACATCCGAGCGTCCGCGACGAGCAACGAGGACGGACGAACGTCGTTTTGGAACAACGTAGAAAAGGGGAAAAAACAAAAAAGAGGGGAATACATACACACAGCGACACTTCGCGTCACGTTTAATCGACAAGAGGGTTTTAGAGAATATTTATTTTTACTTTAATTTCGACTACGTCGCGCGGCTTTGTCAACGATAAATTCGTAAACAGCCCTGCGAAGAGCGAAGCTTGCGCTAAGCCATAAGCTTATATAATAAGAAGCTTAAGTTAAACTCCGAGCTTATGTGAATATCGCTAAAATATTCCTCGGTCATGGAGTATAACGGGCTTCGTGTAATTCTGTAAAGCGACATCTAGATTTATGATAGGGATATGTCAAATTATCGAAGTATGAATTTTTCTACGAGTGTCAAAATTCGAATTCGAACGGGACCAAGAGAAGAAGATGCCAAATAACATGAAAACTCTTCGCGTAGCAAGTAGTGCCGGCAGTGTAATTTCTACACTCCTGACTAACCAAAGTTACAGGCACTACACGGATACCCGCAATCAGAATATTTTCTTTAACGAAATAATGTTTCTCTTTACATAATAGTATTTTCTTCGTCAATCGATGTATAAAAATATTAAGGTAAGGTCACAATACAATACTGAGTACTTTATCAGTATTTTTTCATTTCATATTTTATCTTGATATATCCCGATAATAGTTAAATATTTCGTAAGATATCGATATTTTCTGTTGAGCTTATCTTAATTTATTTATACATAGTACGGCGTGAAGAATAAGTAAAGAGAAATAATGATAAGAATGAATAACTGGCTGCACACTCTCCTCTCTTAAAATGAATTAGTCAAACATCACTGAACACAATGAATATACACTGATTGCAGTTATAAGTACAGCACTAAAAGTGCTCAGTGCTATACTCATAACTGATATCAGTGACTATTCACTGATTCACTTTAAGAGAGTCTATATTCCTCGGAGTAAAATTCCCTCGGAATGATACTGAGGATACCGTCACTCGTAATCACAAGAGTGAATATCAAACTTTGATTGGAATCTTAACGAGCGAATGCTCTGATAAATTAGAGCGAATTTGTTCCTCCGACCGAGTGGAATCCTCAGACTCACTCTTCAATTTCGAATGAGGATGTTCACTCGATGACTCGGAGAGAAGAATTCATCGTGCACGAGCGACAAGTTACTCGAATTCAACTGACAGCTGTGTCACTCTACTTTCCCGGTGGAATGCCACTCCGAGAAATTGAAAGAACGGCTATCTGGGTATCCAAATAGCCAGGTGATTTAAGAACTGCTCAGATACCAAGAGACCGGGATACCTGGAATTGACATCACTAGTAGAAAGTACGATTATTTCACGTCGCGGACTAACGGCCGCGGTCGCGGGATTGGCCAATGCCGTTAAAAAGGCGATCGTTGCAGCTTCGCGCCGCGGCCATCCTTTCGCGAGTCGCGCAACTCTTTCGTCCGACGCGATCTCGATCGTGCGCGACTACCGCGCGCAATCGGTAGCCAATTAAGACGCGTCTCGGGACAACTAGCATGCGCGCACGGTGACGATCGATTTTTACTATCGCGTTTCGCAACGGAACGCGCATTTGCAACCGGCAGTCCGCGGGTGGTCTTTATTATTGCACGATGACATGGCGATTTAGTGCTGAGATATCACGCGGCGTACCACAAGTCACATTGTGTGCTCAATGAGTCATGTTTAATTGTCAAGAATAAGAGCGCATGCGACATGAAAATCACACTTCCACGTTTTCCTCGCGGTTGTGACTAAGTGGCCACTGTCTTTCTTGTCTTGTCCATTATTTCTAGCTTCGCAAGTAGAAATTGCACCCCGTGACTCTGTCTAATCACAAGGTAGTAAATTTGTGTCTGACATCGCTACTAGTCAGCGTAATGCAACGCTCACTTCCTTTAATGTCTGTTCAAACAAATTAACCAACGACTAGACGAAAGAAATTACGGTTATGAGATGAAAAGTCACAACTAGTTGGCAGCCAGCGCTCGCTTTTGCTTTTCATTAAGATTACTTGTTTTAAATAACGTAAATTTGATTTTCTATTCAAAATAGATATGTAGTTAGATTAGATTAGAGAGAGAGCTATCTACTCTATCATATTTGTTATGTAATATATTTGATGTATGTGTGTGTGTGTGTGCGCGCGCGCATAGCTAAACAGCGGCTAGATTGTCTGTTTCTACATTTCATTGAATAATCAACCAGTAACGAGCTGTTAACGAGCTAGAAAATTTAATCTAGCCTGTAGCTACATGCTCCTGAATAAGGTCAGCGAGTTACATTTCAACTCGGAGTAACATTAATCCTACATTCGAAACTAGGGAGCAAAATGACGAAGAGTAAAATTCCTGGAAAGCTGAAGAATTATATGCAAAAGTCGCACTTTGAAGCTCCTTTCCACGCGTTCCGAAAGTCCAATGTGATCATTTGGATCGCCGATACTTTGAAACCGAATCTTTTAGTAATTCCCCTTAGTAAAAACTTTTAGTAACTCCAACTGGGAGAGAGAAGCCGCAATTACGAGGACCACACGAAGAACATGAGAGCTCTTCGAGACAACTAGCGCGACGACGGCGGCAGTGGTGGTGGTGATGGTGGTGGCAGTGGTGGTGGTAGTGGCGACGACTTTTACGTCTGTCGTTATTACCGTGTAACGGGATACCGTCGGCGAGCGGAAGCTCGGCCGAATGAAACGTCTTCATTCGCGCAACGCGAGGCCTCACGATAACGCGTTGATCAAGAAGAACGCGCGGATGCATCTCGCGGGCGGCGAATTTCCCACAGCAAATTTATGAAGCTCACGATGATCCCGACGCGTTCGCGTCCAGCACATGACGTACTGTAGCTCGCGACGCAATTGGGTGTTCCCCATAGATAGGTAGATAGGTGGGTGGGTAAGCAGAAAGGTAGATACGTAGGTGGATATGTAGGTAGGTAGATGGGTAGTTAGGTAGGTAGGTAGATAACTAGCTAACTAGGTAGCTACATATGTAGATAGGTAGGTAGGTAGGTTGGTTGGCAGGCAGGTAGGTAGGTAAGTAGGTAGGCAGGTAGGTAGGTAGATAGGTAGATGGATAGGTAAGTATACGTGAGTCGATTTTCAGCGGTCGCAGACCTATTAGACGGGCATTTCAGAAATAAAGATTTTTGAACTTTGTTCTCAAAGGTCATTGTTGCTATACAAGCATCTCGCACCGCGAGCGACGATACCTGCCTGGTACCTCTCTCTCTCTCTCTTTCTATTTCTCCCTCACCCTCCCATTTTCCTTCTCCTCCTACATACGTTCCTAACCATCGTTGATGTCGGACTTTGTGTCCGTGGACTTTCCTTCTTAAAATACACGTACGCGCGCGCGGGCGAGATCCATGTCGTGTCGCCGCTGCCGGTCGTATCAGCTTTCATTTCGTGGCTGTTCACCATGTATAACGCGTCGCGCGAACG